TATAAATATTTGGATTGTTAGATGGACGGATGGATATGTATTTTTTTTTATATCATAAGGTGGCAAACGAGCGAGTGGCCACCTGAAATCGCTGAATAGTGAAGTGACCGTTGCCCATAGACATACGCAATTCCATACGCGTTGCCTACCTTTAATCGACGGAGAAGAGGATGCACGGAATGAAAATATTTTCCCCTTCCATGCATCCTCTCGTCCGGAAAGTCCACTTCCCGTCCTTTCCTTATGAGAAAAAGGGTGGGAAGGGAAAGAGGACTAAATTAGGCCTCCGGGACGCACACTCATCAGACGAAACGCGGAATTGCTTCACGCCTTCCGCTTCACGCCTGTCTTCTGTGTGGTCGTAGTATTTCACCGGGCGAGCCGGGCCGATTCGTGCGAAGATGTTAAAGCGGGCTCTACCACTGTTAAATATAATAGGATAGATAAATAAAAAGGAATAGATGTATATTTGAAAGTATTTTCAGAACGTTTGTATGGATCTCGCTGAAATTTGGCATAGATGTAGAACATAGTCTGGAAGAACCCATAGTTTAATTTTTTTTATTCCGCCCGGACGAAATTGCTAGTAATTACTAGTAATAACAGAAAAACAGAAGTAATTTATCAATTGATAAATTAAAAATCTTTCGTCGGTTCCAGTATTCGGCAGTTGGACTTTCAGTCGTGCTTAAGTACGTATAAAAATCTTTAGCAATGACATATGGATTTTGATCGGACGTAATGAGGCGCTTACGTATATGTAGATATAATTTATAGACAATAAAAACTTTTTCGTGCAAATATTACGAGCTCTATAACGTCTACCATGCATACTGAATTTAAACACCACTAAAGACCTTTATGAATTACAATAAAAATGATCGTATCTGGAAAAAGCGTCACGCATCGTCAATAAAAGTCTAGCATAAACACCGCTTTTATTGGTAAGCGGTAAAATATATAAATCGTCAAAAAATCTATGCATTGGTACAACAATAAAATATAAGGACAGAAAGCTAATAAAGAAAACGCTATATTAGGTTCTGAAATAAGGGCTGCTCCACAAATGTAGTATGTTCCGGCTGACTTTTATAGGTCATAAAATGGGATAATGTGTCGGTGTAAGCGTATTTTGGAACTGTACAAATTTAGATGGAAGGCGCCGCACGGGATTATGTACCGATATGGAACACCGGACGATCATTTGCTATTGTTCGTGATACATTAGTGGCTACTAATCGACGGCTACAATATCCTTAAAAGCAAGCAATGCAACACAATGTTGCAAATGTTTTAAACAACGAAGGCAATGGAAAAAACTTCTTCTTAAAATTTAAGTCTAACTTGAAAACGTGGGAAAAGAAAACCGTCTCTCTTTTGAAGTACAAACTACTAAAGATTGATATAAAAATTTAATTTAGTCAAATATCTAACAGTAGTATGTTAATAACAAATTTAAAACTAAACGTAAAATTAAAACCAAAATAAAGTAGCACTATTTTAATTTGTATCATGCGATACATCTAACAAAACAATTTACACAACCATATACGTTCCGACAAATAGGTGTTGATGTTAGACGTTGACATCGCAAGTACCCACGAATTGAAAGACAAATTTATGACTCTGTCAAAAGCTGTCGGGAAGAAGGAATCGATTGTGGCAATTAAATTTATTGGTATCGTTGTACCAATCTCGTAACAGTCACGACAATTTTAGTTATATTGCGGGTCCAATTCTTATTAGATTTCGGAATATTTATGTAGGCGGGAACTAATTGGGAAGTAAATTTGGTAAGAAATGTCTATGTTTTACAATTTAATGGTACTCTTCAATGGTGGGCTTATCAAAGTTACCAGAATAAGAACGAGAAGGAACTGTAACTATTTTTACAGAAAAACATAAGTAAATGAAAAACAGACCAGATTAGAATCATACTAATATTATAAATGCGGTTAAAATACATAGATTTGGCTCACGAGGTTACCGCCATGTGGCGTATAAAATCGACTACCATTATTCCGATAGTCGTATCGGTGAATGGACTGATAGCGAAGAGCTTCGACCAACATCTCAAGAAGCTCTCGCTAAACAGTTGGATAATGAATACGATTATAAATTCGCATTTATTTTTAGATGGAAAGATGAATTGATCAATAGATGAATATTTGTTTAAAAGTATATCCAGAACGGTTGGATGGATGATATTTGGTATACATAAAGAAGATAGTCTGGAAGAACACAATAGGCTAATTATGTTTTTTTCTTAATTGTCCACGGGCGGAGTCGCGGGCAACCCCTTAACACTACATAAAGGAATATTGGCAATAACTATTGTTGTTAAACGGGACAGGAAGAGAAAATATCCTTTTCTTGTGTCTCCTTCCACTGTCGATTCAAGATAGGCATCTGCAAATGCAGATTTCTATGAGCAACGGTGACTTCATTATTTTGGCGAATTCAAATGACCGCTTGTTCGTTTGCGACTTTTTGTTTTAAAAAATAAGTTTTGTTCTAAGACGCTATTATATGGCTGACACAATTGTTCAAATACATAAAATTATGTAATAAAGCAGTTATTACATAATACAATTATAGTTTTAATGACTTAATACGAGAAATTGTTTACAATATGTGACTGTCGTTAAAAGTGATTCAATGTTGTAACTTAAAGCTCATGAAATGAACTATAACAGGACATGAAATTACTTCGAAGTCATTAACCAGCCCCATGTTATATCGACCAAATGAGTCTATGTTGTTTGAGTCATTTTATTGTTGTTTCAGCAACTACTTTCAAACGATTGGAGATAAAATGTTCCAAATTATTACAATACAAAAATTACTATAAATATTCAAGTAAATTTCAAATGGTATTTTTTTTGTTGATTTAATTGTTAAACACTTTATAATTATGTTATAAATATTATAAATACCAATGTTTTAAATGGATGTATGGATGTTGCAAACAGAAGCTGTCACCGAAACGCCTGAACGGATTTCGTATGAAATTTAGCATGCCTACAGAACATAGTCTAAAAGAACACAAAGGCTACTTTTTTTTTTAATTCCGCGTGACGGATTCGCGGGCGACTGCTATGAACTTCATATTATATTTGAATCTCTTTGCCGACCGTATTTTGTTTTATATCTTTCAAAAATTGCTACAAGACTGGTCCCATTCTTTGTTTTACAATATTAATATAATATACATACATATGTAACAAGATGCACATACTCGTAGCGCTACAAGAGAACTTCTTACTAAGATTAGACGAGCGCAAGTGTCGCCAGAATATGAGCAAAGTTCAAAACTACATCGGAGCTTGTATCTCACGTATGACTTTTACGTCTGCCTTTGCACCTACTTGTAGCTAGTTTTGAAGATAAGGGAACTATATTCGGACAGCGGGTGCGAGTGAAAAGTTGAATGTATGTGAACATTGTCTTGAATATACAATAATATGATTATTTTTTCCAACTTAGTTACACAACTCTAGCTTACTGATAAGCTTACTCTTTTCCCTCATATGAAACCGATAAAGTCCCGTTTTATAAAAACATTGTACACATGCCCGCATTCAGTTTGCGAGTAGATTTTTCGGTTACGCTTATTGTTTGTGATCGAGATATTTTCTAAACTGTTTGTCAGATTTATATACCGCTTAAGGTTATTTAAAAAAAAACATTGAAATCTATTAATAATAAACATATTTATGTGCATGACGATTTATATTAAAAACAAAAAAAAACAAGGAAAAAATCTTTCCTTTATATAATATTAGTAAAGATTATTAGACCCTTCATTAGAATTTGATATCAATATAATATAATGGTTTGCCTCTACCAATCCTTTAAAACCAATATTTTTATTTATTTACGTAAGCATAGGTAAGGAAAGGTAAATAAATGTAGCCAAAAAGTTCCATAATATACTCGTATCTATTCGAGGATATTATGAAGCGATGTCTGAAAACACAATAGCAAAGATCAAAGTGTTTGATCACGTCTCAAAACAACAACGCGGACGCGGACGGGCCGATACACGCCGTATTATCTGAGACAATGGCCGCCTGATTGGTTTAGTTATACGAAACTGACTCCGGTCACTGGGCGTTCGACATGAACGTGACCCTACTGCTTTATCAATTTGACACTTTTTTCTTACTTACCCTAGCAACTTTCTTTCGTAATAACCGCAAAAATAATTTAGCCTATTTCTTACTCTTGTTCCTAAACAATAAGGTTCTTATTCGTATAATCAGATGATAATAGAAGTTTGTAATATTCAGGCAAAGATGAAAATTTCGATCGTATAAGGAAATTGCTCAGTGGACAGTTTTCTAAAGTTTTCTGCTTACCGTTTGGTGAGTTTTATGTCATAAGTTAAAGGTATAAAGTTATTGTTTCTCGTAGTTTTTTGTCTAATATGGAGTCGAATTAGCGCTGGCGTGGGAAGGATATATTGATTAATGTAGTTAAATGTATTATACTATAAAATACCCGCATAGGAAAGAGTAAGGAGCAAAAAGTTTTGTAGGTTTCATTATCTGCTTAAGAAAAATAATAATTTGTAAAATTTTTAACATTACCTTCTTAATACGAGTCATGATTAGATATCTCTATCTAATCATGACTCGTATTAAGAATAAAATATCTCTATTTTATATACATACCAACTGTTACCCGCGACTTTGTCCACGCGGAGTAAAAAAAAAATAGTAGCTGTAGTGTATGCATAAACGTAGTGTTGTTTGTCTCGAGCGTACACGCCATAAGTACATGCCGGAGAGAGGGGACGTCAGTCGATGTCAGACCTTTGAGCCGGCAACACGTGTCGGTACGTGAACGAGCCAAATATAGCACAACGAATGCTACATTGGCGACGAGGATAAAACCGTAAGTACGGAAATAAATTGTATTTGAAAAAAAAAGGAAGGAGAAGACCAATGTGTAAAAAAATAACATTTAAGTAGTTGATGGACCAAAGTATTGTTTAAATTATTTTGCCTTACCTTACAAAAAAAAAAATTAAATAGTAGGTAATGGATTGCCAAAAATAGCAACAGTCTTCTCTGTTTACATATGATAGTTATTTGTAAAACGTGGCCTTAAGTTGTTCCTAGCCGTGAATATTTTAAAAACGGTTCGGAATGTAAACTTAACCAATTGAATATCGAAATAAGATCACAATATTTGACTATCGGAGAAACAGATTCATTGCTGTGCTCGTCCGTCTAAGTTGTTCACTACAAAGTGCACTACGATGTCACATCGAAATACATGTGCAAGCGACAAATTAATTCCGGTCTATTGATGAAGCAGGAAATGAATAATGAATAAGAAAAGAAAATATCGAACTATTACAATGATAAAATAAACATTACTTTACTACGAGGGTAGTATATCCACGACATATACATATATTGTCATGATTTCGACCAAAAACAATAATCAAATTCATTTTTAAGACTGTCTTCGACCTATGGTTGACAAATAGTGTGTAGATGGATAATAGCATTCGGCGATGTTAATCTCGGTCAACCTTATGTGTATACATAACTTCAATAACATAGGTACAGTCACCTCCAATAAAGTGTAAGTACTTTCGCACTTTCGCTTTCAACTTTCGCACGAACAGCGGCGGTTGTATAGACGAGATAAAGCGACGAATGGCAATCACTAGGTCAGCGATGGAGAAATTGCAAAGAATGCAAAGAAAAAAGAACTCGGTTTGTACGATCGCTTGTACTCTCCATATTCCTTTATGCGTCGAAAACGTGGATCCTACGAGAGGGAGAAAAAGAAGATAGACGCGCTCGAGATGTGGTGCTGGAGAAGAATGCTGAAGATACCTTGGACCACCAATGTACTAAAAAGGCAGCGACTAGGTGGCGTCTGGTAAAGTAGGTCATTGATACTTGATGACCATGACCAATCTGACAAAACTGTAACGACGAAGAAGAAGAACTTTCGCACTTGTCTACAGAGTATAGCTGACCATTAAATTGGTTAAATCATTGATGTCTTGCAAATATAAAAGAACCACGGCTGACCATTAAATTGGTTAGATCATTGAAGTGTTACAGGTATAAAAGCACCACGGCTGACCATTAAATTGGTTAGTTCATTGAAGTGTTACAGGTATAAAAGCACCACGGCTGACCATTAAATTGGTTGGATGATTTGTGTCTTACAAGTATGAAAACATGTCTAAAGACATAAAAGCACTACGGCTGACCATTAAATTGGTTAGATGATTCATGTCTTGCAAACATGAAAGCTGCATAGCGGACCATTAAATTGGTTAGATCAGTCATGTCTTACAGACGTGAAAGCAGCACGGCTGACCATTAAATTGGTTAGATCATCTAATCGTTAAATCGATAAGTTCATTTACAGCCTGAAAAGTTGTCAAGTACATAAATTAAGAAGATTGAAACCCTGATCGATAAATTGATATTACGAGTGGTAAGAAGTTTGAAGCTAAAATTTGTGTGAAGCAAACTGTTCACTAAATTAAGGTGAGAGGTATCTAAATTAAGGTGAGAGGAAATACATTATCTACAATAAAATCAAAATAATGACTATTAATCAACTATATGCCTACAGTACATGTTTTATAATTAGAAAAACCATCAACAAAACAAATCATCAATAACATGTCGTTTGTGAAGTTACAGATTAATAAACGCAGCACTCGGCGAGCAAGTCTAATTGTTGTGCCGAAAGTGAGTGGAAAGAGATATATGTATAACAAACGAAGGAGTACAGCTTCATAAGTTGTTACTGTCATCTTTATAAATGTAAGTTCAGTTAATCAATTTAAATCTAAGCTACCTGAATACATTTTAGATTTTGTAAATAGGTAAAGTAAATTTAAGTCAAATCAATGGCGACTATATTATGTACATTGTCCGATATTGTTTTCAAGTAAGTGACTATTCCTTTGTCTTTTTGAGAAGTAATTCTTTTAACCCTGTTATAAGCACCTTACTACAAAATACGTAGTACAAAATTATATAAAATGTGATTGACTGTTAGTCACGTTTTGTTATGAATATTTACAATATGTATAACGCAATTTCTAATATTATATTGCCAGTTACTAAAGTCATCATAATTGGCTTTATTAACGAATCCGTGGCTAATGCTGGATTGGTGAAGTTTCCAGAGATACTATTAACTACGAGTATATGTAAGTTCAAATCTCGTGATGTACTGTGCACTAAACGAATTTCGATTCAATAATTGTGAAACAGATACGTAGTTTCCGTTTCCGGCGATAGATGACTCTGTATTTAAAATACATCTGAAATTGATTTTATTGCTCTAATTTGGTAAAAATAAGAGCGGAAACGTGTTTTTCTTTGATAATGACATGCTACAGTTGTCGTAAAATATAATAAATAAAGGTAAGTGTTTTCTTTCTGAAATAGCTTTATTTATAGCATAATTATTGGACCAAGTCATGGAGGAATTCATTGTAAAAGTCGCTGTTAAGGCAACTCCTCGCTGAGGACACACTAGTCGCAGTCGGGGTATGTTGAAGCTGGATTTTGTTATCAATAACCCGCAAAAAATTGGTGAGTAAACTTGAATTAAGTTTTAACGGCTTTAAACTCAATTTAGGGAGTAGAAATACCGATTTATGAAATACTGAACCAAAATCGCACTATGGACTTATTAAAACGACTTTAGCACACCGCCTAAAAGTGTGTTTAAAATCAGAGAGATCTTGTTGACATATAATTTTACTTTTAAATGGCATTCCATTTGGATTATTATGAGCTGAAAAAAAACGATTGTGGAATAAAATGCTATCGCTTAGTTCTACTAACTTAACTATTTTCATACATAATATCTACTGTTTGATTGTAAATAACATTAGAGAATAAACGGCAATGACAAGTTCATTTGCTGACCTGTGAAAAGAAGGGACAAAGAGTTTGTCTCTTTATGTTTATTTATGTTACGCTTATATTGAAAAAGACTTTTACTATGTTCAGAGTAGTCATTAGCAATTCATTGTTACATATAGGTTGAACATCTGATAAATTGAAAACTTATAGTGGCATTTAAATATTGTACATCAAGTTAAATATAAAGTTCAACATAATTGAATACCGTCAGTGACTCTGTGTTGTGGGTTGAAAGATCTCAAATAAGCTGGGAAATAAATTTGGTAATTAAATATAAAAAAGGTATAAGTCTTGACTTTTGAAACCTTCATTCAATAGAAAATATAACATCTTTGAAGGAGAAGAAACATTAAATTGTTAACATAGTAAGTTAGTCATTTTCAGGTTAAGTATTAGAAAAAGAAAATTATCATTGACTATTCCATAATATAGAACATTCTTATTGATGCGTGGGTGGCTTCATCTGTCTGTCTGTCTATCTGACCTTCTTTCAAGCGGGAACTGCTGGGCCAATTTGGATGAGGTTTGGTACATTGATGGACGGGAGCCTGGGACCATTGTCATGGACTGATTTTGATGTATTGGAATATGTGAATTTTGTGCGAGTATTTAGTGGGTTTAATATGTTTCAGTATAAAACTTAATAATATTAAGTGATTAGCCTAAGTGATTGAAATGCTATACAAGTCAGTATTTCGTGCGAGCGAAGTCGCGGGCACAGTTACATCAGTTACAGCTTTTGGTGTTCCAACCAACTAGTACTGTGTCTACAGTGCATAGCATTCATAGTACAGAGTAAAATTTTATTATTACTACTAGCGTAAATTATCACGTCTAGGATACATTCAAACTGTTAAGTACTTTTAAGTACTGTTAATTATTAAACATTACTTTTTAGCAAAATATTTGGTTTCGACATTAATAATTTACACAAAGATAACAAAGTAAGCGTCAATTAAAATCCTGCTTCCCATACGGTAGAGACAGGTATTGATGGCGATATTGAAGTTCGGAATATTTTAACGTGACAAATGCCAAGACGAAAATAAGTTTATTTAAAATGAATTGAGGGACACTGGCGCGTTCTAAATAACAAATGGAAGGAAGTAGAGCATATAGAAGGAAGAAATAATGGAAACTTGGAAGATAAGTATAGGATGGTAACAAATATCTATGCAGTTGTTGTTAAAATAATTATTAAGTGAATTTATAGAAAAATGTTATTGAATCTAAGTTTATTAAACTTACAAAATGGATATACATGTAGAAGTGTAGAGAAACTTAGAAAATCGAATTTTATGTATACTTGTATTCTATTAATTGATAGTTTTAGAATACAAGTACCTATACTTAGCAAGATTAAATATATTAAAAAAAGGAAGGGATGTAGTGTATGCATAAACGTAGTGTTGTTTGTCTCGAGCGTACACGCCATAAGTACATGCCGGAGAGAGGGGACGTCAGTCGATGTCAGACCTTTGAGCCGGCAACACGTGTCGGTACGTGAACGAGCCAAATATAGCACAACGAATGCTACAGTAGCCAAAGTGTCCTTCCAGAGTATGTACTACATCATTGCTAAATTGCGTCGAAATCCATACAAAGGTTCTGGAGATATCTTGTAACAATTGTCCATTCACCCATCCAAACATTCGCATTTGTAACATTAGTAAAATTTGGTGTTTAACCGACCACTGCGGGTTTAGATCAGGTGGAAGTTTGAACGTTTACGACCGTAAAGTTTTGTACGTGCTTCTTCTTTTTTATACAAAAAAACATTAAAAAGCTGTTAAACGTTGTTAAATGGAATGTGATAAACAATTTTTGTACATTCCATTTAAGGCTTTCTTAATGGTCATTCTTTTGTTTTCACACAGACTGTCATCTCATAACTCAATGATAGCTGAGTTTCATAATACATTAATCATTAGTCTGCTTTTATCATAACCACGAGAGGCAATGAACTTCGTTGGAGATTTTTGAATCATAAATTTGGTTCAATGAACCCTTAATTTAATTAGCACTAGAATTACAACCACATCAGATTAATACTGGTAGTTATATAATGCATGTTGTTTGCATTAGAGGGTATTCGAGTACTTGTAAATCATTAAACGATGAACGAAAGCCTCGGTAGCTCAGAGATTAAGCACTTGACTTGTATTCTGCAGGTCCTGAGTTGAATCCCGCCATGTATCAATGTTTTTCGAGTTCGATTTCTATATGTACATTTATCCGACGTTTTAACGGTGATGGAAAACATAATACAACCTGTACATATCTGCGACAAAATTTAAAGATATGAGTGAAGTCAAGCAACCTAGGCTCAGGCCTAGTCACTCCTAACTTAGGGTAGTCTCCGAGCTCTTTGGTGGAACGTATAGTCAGCTCATGATATAAAAAATGAACCGTTTTTAGGGTTGCGTACCTCATAGGAAACAAACGTAACCCTTATAGGATCACTTTGTTGTCCGTCTGTCTGTCTGTCAAGACCCTTTTTCTCAAAAACGCGTGAAAGTTTCAAGCTGGTATTAATTTATTACAAAAATGCTATGAGGTTAGTTCGCATTACATGCTACATTTTAAGGTTAAGAAACCCCGTATTATTTTTGTTTATACAATTTTTAACTATTCTTTTTATCGCAAAAATCACGATGACTAAGTCAGTAAATTTTATAGGGGATAAAATTAATTGATGCAAGTAGGTTTATAAGACGCGTTACGACTTAATCGAGGACTGCCGGTTAATGAGCGGAAAGGTTATAAATGTAAAACATCGTGGGTAGTCCGGACCGAACATCAGCTTAACCGTTACTATATTAAGTCGGCCATTTTAAAGTCAATTAATGTAATTAATAAAGTCGTCAATCATTTATTTCTTTTTAAAATTGGAACAGAAGTCGGTTCACGGCTTCTTTGTTAATATAGCTTATAAAATAGACAGATATAAAACGATTTTGTTTTAATGCGTGAACAATAAATTATTTTATTCATTTGTTCATTTTAAATAATTCATTGATACAATAAAAATTGGAACGATATATTTTAGATATTTGTTTTACTTTAATTTTACTAGTATACAGTTTAATGATTCAGCTTTATTTTTGAAGACTTTTATTTATAAAATGTGATTTAATGGTCACACGCAAACTGCAAGGATCATATCCAAGCATCTGTATAGAAGCTTCTGCATAAAAAGTAGAAGGACAAGACTAAAATACGATAAAAATTTAAGTATTATTCAGAATATAATACTGTTCTCGGAAAAATATCTTGAAATGTATTAGGAATTAAAATGATTCCTTTAACGACTAAAATTTAAAAAGTAAAAAACGAACAAAGACGCCGATGATTTGAGTTGAATAAATTTACGTATAAGCATTCAACTAATGAACGACGCGAGAGATAGCCGACGCGGGCGTTTATAGAAACTTAATCGAATAATTGATTATAATAGTGAAACAATAAAGTGATTAGTTGGACAAAAAGTAAGACAATGAATTATTATCCAATGGATAGGTTACTATTGTCGAATGTTAGATGTTAAGCCAAAGATTGTCTGACAAATGAGGTCAATGACCGAGCTGTAGTATCGTTTGCTTATTCGATCATCGTTTGATATCAATCTTGACGATTCTTCAAACAGATCGACTATCGATTTTGTAATTGTAACGATTATTTGTTTGATTTTAAAGATGATAAGTCAACTGTCAAATTCTTCTAATAGGTTTATTTTTAGTTTATTGGGAAAACAAAAGCAATTATGAGTTCTTTGTGGGTGGGTCACACAGTTCTAGATTTAGGTATAAAATTAGAATGGATATATGTATTTTGGCTCAATGGCGAACTGACAGTGTTTACCAAACAGTCCGTTTTCGAATCCATCGATGGATATTTGAATTTTTTACTCTCTTTAAATAGAATAACTGCAAACAGCTGTGGGAATAGAATATTTAGGTATCCTTTTTTTAAAGCTTTATGTTTTTTAAGCTTTATGCTTTATGGAACTTACCCATACTACGTGACCCGTTTAGCGGCGGTGGGGGAGTGGGAGTGGAGTCTAAAAAATACTACGGTCAGTCATAGGAGCGGGGCGGTGGCTCAGGTTTTTGTCACGCAGTCGTTAATTGTTCTTTTTCATAAGACATAATTCACTAGTAAATTACGTATGCATGCAGTCTTAAAAAAACTTAGAAAAAACTAAAAAAATAGGTCACGTAGTATGGCTATATTCCCTAAACGTTGCTACAATGGTTGGGAGTATAGTAAATTATCAATAACAACTTTTCTTTTTATAATACTAGCCTTTGACCGCGATTTTGTCCACGCGAATTAATAAAAAAAAAAAACTTAATTAGCAGCCTATATGTTTTTCCAGACTATGTTCTACATGTGGGATAAATTTAATGGAAATCCTTTGAGCCGTTTCAGGGATAACCTCAAATAAAATTCAATCCATCCATTTAAGCTTTCGCATTTATAATATTAGTAGGATGTTTCTAGCAAATAATCCGTAAACCATTTGACCTAAAGTTTCTAGTTTTTGTGTGGAATTGCGAAGGTATAGTAGATATTATTATGAGTACGACTAAATCTAAACACATATAAAGTTTGGGCGTGACATAAACGAAGTAAATGGAAGAATATATCAGTATTTAGTCCCACACTCAATAATTTGTAGGACACTAAGCGGATTACGTAGCACGAACGGTTGCTGGAAAGCAATAAATTCTTGATTCTTTATCATTTTTAAATGCCCGCCGATTTCTTATCGTCATAAATTGAATATCGTTAAATATCCAACGTCTCTAAACGTGTGCTTAAGTAGGTATTATTCCATAAGATAAAGTCGTTAAAGTAGCCTCTTTGGCTTTCGTTTTATTTAAATACGCAGCCGATGGTTATATCGTATAACTTTAGTTGTTACCGTCTAATCCCCAGTGCACGTATAGCGAAGCGTAGAGTGAGATTTTATTGGTCGATAATTTAGGATTCCCCTCTGAGTGGAAATTCTTAAATACAAACTGACATACTTTTTATTGACATACAAGTAAATGGAATTGAACGTTTAAGTTAGTTTTAGTTAACCACAACAAAAAAATGTTATTCTATGTTAACAAAAACGTAATTTTTCAGCTTATAGAAAAAAACCTATTGATTGTAATATTAAATTATTACAGAGGAGTGCCTAATACCGTAATTAATTTTCTTTTGCATAAGTCTGAAGTATGAAGTTTGAAACGCGAATATTTGTTTTTTACTTATATTTAAATACTAATGAAATGGGACTAGTGTGAAATGGCACTATATTTTCCAAAAATTAGAATTCTGAGCATTTTATTGCAATTATTTTTTTGAGGTACGTTAGCATTATCTCTATAAACAAGCAGGTCTCCTCTAATAGGCGTAAAACATAATCCTAGTTTCCACAGAGACTTTATAGGAATGCAGACAATGCAGTACTGCTATAGATTTAACGCATTCTTACTGTAAATATTATAATGTACTGTCTCAGTGCTGTGAGTTTAAATAACTGCTCTACCTCACTGGCACGCCCTTGTGTGAAACTAGCATTAAGCTTTGAACCGCTGCCCGTAGCTCCCCGCAGAGCTCAGCTTCGCGCCATCCCACCACTAACCCAAGTTTATGGCTTAATCGTTCTCATGCTATATCAATAAATATACTATTCGAAAACAAGGTAAAAAGAATCCTTAAGAAATCCCAGCTTAAAATGCCGTTTTTTTACAATGAAACTATACGGTAATGTTAACTATAAATAAATTAACTAACGACTGTAATTCAAAGGGTGGGCGCATTGATTCCTAACGAGGGATGTCACATCCTTTTAATTTTTTTCCTTATTTTATGAATTCCATGTTATGCTGCTTTCCCTAGAGGCTCACTCGTAATAATCGATCATTTGTCTTAATTCACTTTCTATGGTTTATTTATGTTTTGGTGCTAGCTTATTTTCTAATAGCTGGTGAAATTCTAAGAAACATTTAAATTTAAAAGGAAAAGTACAAATTCGTGTTAATTCTCAATCCAAAATTAATACCTCCCATTTGTTGAAATGCACCAAATTCGTGTGACGACCCAAAAAGTTCACTTTGACAGCTCAGTCGACAACTTACAAGGG